CAGAAAACATAAATCTTTGCTGATGATGATGGATTTCAATATATGACAAACTCAAATTGTGAGATTCATGCACCATGTCAACAAAAGTAGTATATATATATATATATGCAATTTGTGTCACATTACAATGCCCTTCAAAGAGAAACCCGAAAAATTTTGAACCATAAGAATTCATCAACAAGCACAACTAACCTATCTGCTGCGGATAAGAAACTTTCTCCGGGGGCTTGGCTGAGTCAGCAAGATTAGCTATGCTAATGCCCCACTTGAACGTAGGTGCCCAGAAATGAACTGCAACACACCAAAAACATAAAAGCACAAGCCATCAACTTACAAGTCTTAACATCAAATTACCAAGACTGTAAACAAAAAGTCAAAAGTCAGCTCATATTAGTGTTTGCATCCCAGGTGAAACAACTATTTTTAAGTCGAATAATAAAAGCAGCTATAAATCCAAAGATCCTCAAGTTCATCATGTTGAACCATTGTCATTTGTCATTGCATATAAGTTCTTTATTTATCTCACATAGCAGTGACAATTGGAAGCAGGAGCAATTCAGTAATTCAATGCAACTGACCATATTTTCATCTACCCTTAATAATCACGGCTTCCCAAAATCTGACCATTACCAAACCACTGTAAAAAAACCTATTGAGATGGAAAAGAATTTGATTGAACTAGAATATAAACAATTCCCAAGATGCAATTTTTACAACATCCACATACAATCTGAATGACACAAAAACACCCAATAAATAAAAGAAATATGCGAATTCATTACGGTGGAATAAAGATATATGATTGGATAGCAAAATAGGATCTGTTTGAAAACAAATCATGACACATCCGCCATGACATGAATCCTAAGATTAAGGAAAAGAGAAACAGGTAAAAACCTACGCGAATAAAGGGAGAATGAAGAAACAACTGACTTGTTTTAGGGCCAGCAGGGTGATTCCATAGGGCTTGTAGCTTCGATGTCGCCATTGGTCGTCTCCTTCTCTCTTTCTCTCGTTTGATTTGTGATTAGGTGTTGATTTTGGTGCTGCCGATGAGTTGACGAAATTGACCACGGCGCCTTTTCTCCTAACTAGTATTCTTTTACATGTTTAATTTTTCACTAAGGGGGTGATTGTTTATCAATTCATCTAGAAATTAATTGGTTTTTTTTAACTATAGTTACTTTTAAAAAAAGTTAGTATGGTTAGTTGTTAGTGGATATATTAAAATAATATTTAAAATAAAATAATTAAAGTTGATATGATGTAAAAGTAAGAGAAAATGATTGGAAGTAGTGGTTAGTTAAAATTATGTGAGTGGATGAATAGTGAATTAAAATTGATGTGATGTGTAAGAATGATTGGTTGGTATTAATTAATTATATTGGTAATAATGGAGATAGTGGAGTTGGGTTAAAGTTGAATTAAATTTGAGTTTTGATTGGTTTTTTTTGAATTGGGTTGATAAACAATCACACCCTAAGCACTTACAATAAAAATAAAACATTTTGTACAATTTTTTATTTTTATTATTTTTTCTTTTTTAGCATTGTATATTTACTTGAAAATAATCTTGCTTTAAAAGCATAAGAAAATAAATATTTTAATAATTATAACGAATATTGAAATATTACTCAAACTGAATTATAGAGTTTAACAATATGTAAAATAACAATTTATCTTATCTTATGTTGTAATTGGGAAAAAACGAAAATATAATTTATTTTTAAATCTTTTTCTTCATTATAATACCATCCGTCGAATTGCTCAATGGTCGCATTTTTGAATCGTGCCGTTGAATCATTTGACCGTAATAGCAAGTAACAATATACAATTGGGGCCTTCCCCACGGCCGGCCAAATTGATGCTGCTCAACTGCCATAGCCGCCGCCATGGATCCACACAGCCAGACCACTTCACTACAACGACTCCAAAACGTCGAGAAGGTAATTTTCGTAATGCATCTCCGTCGACATCGCACAAACACCCCATGAGTTTGAATTGTGTTTTCACAGAGAATCGTGAGGGTTTTGGAGCTTGCCGGCGGAGTAATGGAGGAAATGGCCAGTCCCAGTGGCCCCAGAAAGGAGCTAGTTAACAGCAATTGCACTGATTTCATGCAATTAGTCAAGGTATCCTCCCATGTCGTCTTCTTTACTCTTGCTCGTACAGCGATTTTTTCTGTTTTAAGCTAATGAAGGGGAAAAAATTAGGAGTTTTGAGTTTGTGCAGTTTATGATCTTCGATCTTAATGAGTAATATCAGTAGCATTTTTTTTTTCTTACCTGCCTTTTTTAATTTGTTTGATTAGGATATTCAGATGACGCTGAGGGAGGAAATTAAGAGTGCTTGCGAGTACCGTCCATTTGAGAAGTGTGACTATGTTCCGAGAATATCGAACGAGATTTGTTGCAAGAAATTGGAATATGTCATATCTCAGCTTGATGAGATGAAGCAAACAATTGAGGGGTATGGTGATGCTGTTTGAGGTTTGTGATGTGTGAAACTGTAAGTATCTAGCTCAATTTCATTCTATATGATGCGCCAATTAGAACAACTATTATTTTTTCTGAACCAGCATCATAGAAAGTATTGGGGCAATGTGATTGGATATGATACTTGAATTGCAAATGCACGTGTCAAGATGTTGTGTTTGGGGTTGATTGAGATGAGAACTGTTTCATGCAGAAGAAAATAATGAGCTTCAATCCGTCTAGTGTTCTCATTTTCTTCCACAATTTAAAATTGCGATTGAGTTGGTCACATCTGTGTTCATGCTCTTTGTACTTGCATTATGACATGCTAAGCTAGTATTGTTGAATGCTGGATTTATTTTCTTGTTTAGTTTTTTTATATGTATGAAAAATTGGAGTTTGAAGTTGTTGGAGTCGGAGCCTGAGCTCTTCATAGGTGTTGAATGAGTGCATTTCTTGTTTTGCTGTATGAAGCCTTTTGTTGAATGGTTGTGTTGGTGTTTTTTATTCTATGAATTGGTAATACTAGTGCACAATTGGTTGATTTACTTGTGGACAATTATACAGCTCGTTTGCATATAAATTGTTTTCCTCTTCAGTTCAGGGTTTTATATTGCAGTTTACAAGGGTGTATCTGTTGTTTTGTGAAAATTAAGAATATGTTTGGATGAATGATTATTTATGAAATATGTTTCTTAAGTTTTTGTCACTTTTAACAGCCTCTTAACGGCCACTTTACAGTCAGGTACCAAATCTGCTAGTTGTTTTATAGTATGGGTACTGAAAGTGGGATAGGGAGAACGTGGGGTACTAACCATGAAATTACTCCTTAGTTTGGGTACTGAAATCACTATTTTTCCCTGTAATATATAAGTTCGGGTGAATAGTAGGTTGTATATTGTCATGTACCCGGTTATGGAGTGGGCCGGTTCTATAGTTTAGATAATTTATGTTTTGTTACTGGGTCTTTTATGTTGGACTCATTTTATTATGTTTAGGTTTGGGCCTATATATATTAAATAGCCCATTATGTGAATTAAGTGGTGAGTTGTGTGAGTGACATGTGAATGAGTATAAAAGACATGTAAGAAAGATGATTTGCATTATGGAATGAAGTAACAACTTTCACTCTCATTCTCTCTTGTTTTCTCTCTCCTCCCAAACTCTCTCTCTCTCTCCTCCCGCATTTCACGTGTTCTATCATCTCTCTCACTCCCAATTTCTCCAACTTCTTCTCAAAATCATACAAAAAATCCAGAAAAATCCAAGTTCATAACATATATATAACAACAATAACATATGAAACATATTAAATTGGGGCCCACTAATGCATATAAGAGTATTGTTGAGATTATGGATTGAAATTAGAAGTATTAAGCTTGAGACATGTTTTGATGGGTAAATAGATGAAAAGTAATTTATTTAAGTGGGATTGGGTTTCATCTTCTTTAGTTCACTACTGTGTTCAAAATTGTGATTACAATGTCTTTAGAGTAATCACAAACCCGAGATTGCACTTCGAATACACATACAAGTCCTTATCTTTTAACATCATTAGATTTCTCCTCAAGAAACGTTTGCCCAGTCAACAGGAAGGCATAATTAATAGAAAGGTAGTTATATGTGGCGTGCGAAAACTTGTGATGCTTGAATGATGAAATCATTGGATGAACTTGTATCTTCTCACTTCATTTGTATCTAGTACTAGCTTCTCTCCTGGTAATTGAAACTTCAGTTTTTCAGTATTAAAATTTAAACAGCATTCACTTGTTCCATCTTATTGTGCAAGATATTTTTTCCGCAATCTGATTTATTTCTTCTAAATTTTAAACCGATAGTTCTTTTGATCTTTTGTTTGTGAAGTAATTATTATTATTATTATTTGTCATTTTTCTTCTATCTTTTTATCGTCTAACAACTGGTTAGTTTCATTCTTTTCTTGGCAGGTGATGATTGGACGCGTTCCAGTGTTCACAAAGATATTCAATTACCATTTTCTATCCGACCACTTCGGAATGATGATTTTGGTTTGTCGGACGGGATTTTGAGATACATTTATGGCTTTAAAATGCTTCTTGAAATTTTAGTCCTTCCATGACACATAGCACCATGTGGCACTTCGGATATATAGTGTAACTTCATATATCGAATAAACCTGGTGTTCATTCAAATAACTTATGAGACAACTTGAAACTATGTGTTCTTCCACTTAACATGAATAAATGTGTATTTGTTATAATTTTGACCGATGAAAGTATTATAACCGATGTGTACAAAATGAATTTTGACCTCTTAACGAAATGCATCTTCTGAAAATTATGCGTAGTTTCTTGATTTACCTTTCATTTTCCGAGCTTGATGTTCGCAGTGAATATACTCAAGCTTTATTTAAAGACTTTGCATTTATCTCAAAAAATTTCATACCAACTTAAGATAAGTCCCTGTGGTATTTAATTTTCAGCCTTTATTCAATGCACATATGCTTTATTGCTAACCTAGAGACATGCATTATTCCATTCTTTACTGCTTTTGAGTTATTCTCTTGCACAAACAAACAATTAAATAAATAAAAAAATAAATAAAATGAAATGAAATAACTATTACTAGTTTTTGTCCCGTGCATTTGCACGGAAAACTATATGATACATGAAAAAATAATAAAAATTATAAACAACAGTAAAAATCATAACAAATTCATTGAAAAAAATTAAGAAAAAAAATATAAATATTCTTAAACACTTCTTTATAAAACAACGTCGTGGTTTTTCTATCGTCAAAATCTCCCTCAGCTCAAATCAAAATCTTCAAACCCCACTCGTAACTCTAAAAAGAGCCACGTATAATTGCTCATGACTAAATGCAGAGCTCTTCAGTAGTAAGCCGACGTGCGACAGAGACTGTCTTTGACTCTTATTGATCATGTCATAGCATAGGAAACACTTCTTTATATTGTTTGTCCTCGACTCTTATTGATTGATAGAGATTGTCCTTGCTTCTTAATAAAAAAAATACCATCTAAATATAAATGAGTAAATATAATATTAATTTTTTATATAAACAAAAAATTTAAAGTAATTGAAAATGAGTATAGAATTACCCTTGCGGATTCAAGTTATTTCAACGATGTTCTTTTTATATATCTAAGATTTAATTTTTTTTCTGATTTATATGAATATAAGCACATTTGACTAATTTTTATAAAATTTATTGAAAAAAGTTACTATTTTTTTGAAAAACTGATAAGATATTAAGATAATACTGTACTTAACATAAATGTGGGATTAATTAAAATAAATCTTTTTAATTTAGTCATTAACTAATTAAATTTAACTATAAAAAACCTTCTTAAATGTGAGATTAATGAGTAATTAATTAAAAAAATGTAACTCCTTTTGGAGGGAAAGTGAAAATATTTTTATTAAATAAGATTAGCTAGCAATTATATATATATAGATGGGGATATTGAGACCTATCCTATGGTCCCATGGGGATGGGGTGGCAGACAGAAGCCTTCTTTTTGAAGCTGGACCACCCTTTCTTGAAAAAGCTGATATATATAAGCAGCTGTGAATTCAAGGTAAAGTAATTTCACTCTCCATCTTCATATATTTATTATATATATATATATAATAAATATATATATATATATATATGTGCTTCTTTTTAAATACAAAATTATAAAAATAAAAAATTGGTTGCACAATTATTCTTGTTGTTGTACTAATTTTTGTATCTTGTCCTTTGTTTGTGGTTACGATATTAAATTAGAGTACTAGCAAAAGAGTCACATAAATGAGCATTTATTTATTTGGCATTGCTGTCTGTGCTGCAAATATGCATGTCTGTACTGTTTTTCAATTGCTCCCCTTTAAATGTATGTAACTTGTTGGGGTTCAAATTATTGAAGTTCAGAAGTAAAGCAAGGTGTTTGGTATCTGGCATGCTATTCAATTTTTTATTTTTTATTTTCTTTCCTATTTTGAATTTTTTTGCTGTTGTATTTGTGGATTTTGCAGAAAATTGGTGAACCTGTTTTCAAGGGTCTGAATATTATTGTTCTTCCCCAATGTATGACAATAGGACCTTAAAATGGTTTTGATCTCTGCTTGAGATGTAATTTATATTCGTTGTGCTCAATCTCACTGAAAATATATCTATCAATTGTCACTTCCCACATCCAATTCTCATATCAATACAGTCGATCTTTGACCAATATGTTGCATTAGTGGGAGACAAGCATATGCTCTAACTGAAGTGTTCATCAACTTCAATAACAATTATAGTTTCATGAACCATATTTTAGTAGAGAATTATATTCTACTTATTATAAAAGTAATGTGTTCAGAAATTGTCCAAGTTGAATAATTAGTTAGAGGCTTCTATAATATACATTTTTTAATGAATAAATCTAGTTTAATATACATTTTGATCTAACGGATAAAATAAATATCATATAAATGTAGAAATTATTGATTTTGAATTTAATTTTGTTATGTTAAATATTATGTCAACAGAATGATTTTCTCAGTGATGGGTGGCTTCATAAGAAAATCATACCATGGTTTCATAAAATTCTAAAAATAAAATTCTTGTTAGGTTACCTATCCTCAATACCTATAGATAAACATGTTTACTGAGACCATTATATTGTTATCTATAAAGCAGGACACTGGACATATAAAAGTTTATATTTGCTTGGTATATATTAATAATTAATACTGTGCACTGCTCTAGGAAGCAGATTTTGTGATTTTATATTTATACATGTGTCGAGTCATAGCACTCAAGAATCTTAATAAGAGTCAACAAACATATTATTACATGGTAAAGAGGTTCATAAGAGTGGATAGCTATTCACGACCGACCACTTTTGCCTCGTCTTTACACCAAACCTCACATGATTTAATCATTGCATAATCCCACTCACTAGTTTTTTGCATGACAATTTAATCTTGATCCTTAATAAAGTTTACTTTAATTATCGAGTTTTCACAACAAAAGTTAATTGTCATACTTACACATGCGAATAAATAACTGATTAGCAACATAATTAAGAAAAAAAAAAAAGATGAAACACTGTTTGGAAGTGTGCATAATGTTCGGGTATTTTCACATTTTTATTGAACAGTTAGTTAATTAACTAATTTGCCCCTTTAATGTGTTGGGCTGAACATACTAGATGAATAAATGTGGGGGTAATGCTGGTGTTAAGTAAATTTAATAATTGTTCATTTATAATTTTAAAATAAATATGCATACTTTCATACGTAAAAGCACAGTTTAATTTTCTCTATANGGAGTTATGTGAAATCTATAGCTCTGACTACAACGTTTTCATATTGCTGCTTGTTTCAAAAAGTAATTTGAACTAATTGTCGGCCTTAAACATGTTCCTAAATCTAGGAGCCCGAAGGATTTTAAATCATTATTTGATTAACATCTTAATCAAAATCAAATCCAAGCAGATATTATATATAATTAAAATAGGTTATTTAAGTTTAACAGTTAGAAAATTATTTTTTTTTTCTTTCACCTGTGCATACTCTCAAATTTTAATATCATACTCTAAAAAATAATATAAACAAAAAATATGTCATTTCATAACATAAGTATCTCGCCTAACGTTTAGGCAGCCTCACGCAAGAATTATGATCACGATTTGTTACCTTAAAGGTCACTAATTATCTTTTAGTTGAATGTTCATTTCTTCATCACTTAATGTTATTTTAGCTTTAACAAAATATTATTATTATTATTATTATTATTATTATTATTATTATTATTATTATTATTTTGATTATTATTATTATTATTATATTGTAGGAATTTCAAAATGAAAAGTAAGTGTTGTTTACCTAACTAAATGGTCATTTATTTTTTACTCAAGATTCATTCAATCGATAATGTGTACGGCTATGAATGCGAGGTGTTGGTATCTTGTTATATTATTGTTTAACAACGTTGAGGCATCCCGAGCTGTTAAGTTTTACCTAACTTGAAAACTATGTATTCGAGCTTGGTCTCAACTCTTTACACGAACGTAAAAGATTTTATTCATTTAAGAATTTGTTTGAGTCCTTAAAATAAGTCAAGCTCAAATAACTCGGTTATGAATTTGTTTGCTACGTACAAATGTACAATGCTCCTTCAGCCATATTTAATAACTCAACCAAAATAAGCCAATATCTAATGGCCATTTTTCTTTTATAAAAGTAAGCAATTAACTTAACCAAATCCAAAAGTAAGCGAAGTACTCTATCCGTTTGATTGTGTAAGAATGTGAAAAATATTTAAATATTTGATGTATAAATCACAAAGGTTAGTAGATGTATATAAAGACAAAAGATGGGCTTATGTTGGGCCTTAATCTAACCTACAATACATAATACAACTACTATATAACTAACACCCCCTGTGCAACATGCTGTTTAATGAAGTGACAGTCGATCTCAATATGCTTGGTGCGCTCATGAAAGGTATCATTATGAGATATCTTTATAGCACTCTGACTATCACAATGTAGAGCAGTAGACGACGACTGAGGTGCATCGAGATCAGCAAGTAGCCGACGTAACCATAATACCTCAGAGGTGGAATCAGTAAGAGCACGGTACTCAAACTCAGCGCTTGATCTGGAAACTGGGGTTTGCTTCTTACTACGCCAAGAGACAAGTGAATCACCCAGAAAGAAGCAGTACCCAGTAATAGAATGACGATCAATAGGATCTCCAACCCAATCTGCATCAGAATAGCCGGTAAGTGTCAAGGAAGAACGTGCCGAGAAGTGTAAACCATGCAAGAGTGTCCTTCACATAGCGAAGAATGTGCAACACAGCAGAATGATGCGTGGTTCTTGGAGCAGCCATAAACTGGCTCACAATATGAACAACATGAGCTATATCAGGCCGAGTGACAGTCAAATATATCAAACTCCCAACAAGCTGACGATATAACGTAGGATCCTCAAGAAGAGAGTCATCCAATGGAGTAAGACGAACATCATAATCAAGAGGTGTAGAAGCTGTCTAACAATCAGTAAGACCGGCCCGAGCAAGAAGATCAGAGGCATACTTGGCTTAAGACAAACAGAAGCCATCAGAGGAATCAGAAATCTCAAGACCCAAAAATAGCGAAGCTGGCCCAAACTCTTCATCTCAAGACGCTGACAAAGATAGTCCTGTAAATCGGAAATACCGGTAACATCATCTCCCGTGATGATCATATCGTCAACATATAGCAGCAAAATAATGATCCCAGATGAGGGGCGCCGAAGAAACAAAGCAGAATCGTGATCACTC